TACAACTTTGCTTCCGCCGTTTTTTTCCGAAATTCGAGGCTTTATTGTAAAAAACTGATTATACATTTATAATTCAAAGTATTGTCCATCGCTGGCCACAATTTTCTCCCATCTTTCGGGTAGCGTACGAATCCCGCGTCGAAAAAACTGGTCATCTTTTGAGGCTATCCACGAATCGATCCAATTTTTTACTTCTTCATAAGACCGGAAGTGCTGGTCAGCCAGGCCGTGTGCCATTGATCGAAACAAGTAATAGTCAGAGGGAGCAACGTCTGGAGAATACGGCGGGTGGGATAGGACTTCCCATTTCAACGTATCCAAGTATGTCTTGACCATTTTCGCAATATGGGGTCGAGCATTGTCATGCTGCAAAATCACTTTATCGTGTCTCTCGTTGTATTGCGGCCATTTGTTTTTCAATGCTCGCATCAATTGCGTTCGATACCGATCGCCTGTGATTGTTTCAGTCGGTTTTAACAGTTCATGATACACTACGCCGAGCTGGTCCCACCAAATACAGAGCATGACCTTGGACGTCAAAATCACCGTTCTTGAAGCGTTGAAACCACTCACGACATTCTTTCACTAATAGCGGCCTCACTATAAGTATTTGAGAGCATTCGATGAGCCTCAGCCGCAGATTTCTTCATATTGAAGCAAAAAATTAAAACTTCCCGCACGAGAATTTGACTCGTAAACTGACATTTTCAATCGAGAATAACTTTATGATGCAGACACAAATCGACTACTGTTTCTATGGGGTTATGTTGACAGATGCCCAAGTTTATTGTATGACGTCTATGATCTATTTCGATCACCAAACCGCTAAAACCATCTATAGGAAAACGGCGGAAGCAAAGTTGTACACCTAATAACAAAGGTTACGTTCAGTAGGAAAAGTAAATCTGCACATTGTAAGATTCTTAATATGATTGGCTCTTAGACTTTCTTAAATCTGAATGTATAATTCATTGATAATGAAGAATTTTACATCAGTTACACAGCTCCATTTTCTGCTGAATACACTATAATGTAATTAAAGTTCTATTCTGAAGTTTTGTAAATAAAATAATATACAGATTTTTCTTCTGATCTTTTCTTCTTCTTCATTGCACTAGTAAATAATTGTTGGTCCCAGTGAGAAATGACAATGAAATCGACATCGATTCCATTATCATTTCTCAATGAGAAAAAGATTGTCGACGCACAAATCCACAAAACATTCAAATTCACAAAACGTTAATGTCAATCAATTATCAGTGACGAATAAGCAGAAGAAATCTATTCATCTTTTTTCTCTTTTTTTTCGTTTTCGTAATTTAAGATAACAAACAACAGAAATAATATTCACTATAATATTTAAAAAATTATAACAGAAATCCATATGAATTTTGAATTCATATCAATATCAAAATTTTTTTTGTATATATAAAATTGAAAATTTATACGCTTTCATCGCAGTGATGTTTGACTGTATAATAAATGTATTTTCTACTTGATACATCGGGCGTAATTACTTTAAGGTTTGCTGAAAACGTATTTGCTGAAAACGTTTTTGAAATGAGAAACATTTTAAAAAATGTTGTTTGCGGAATGTGATTAAAATATAAATATGATCATTAAAAATATAAATTTGATCATATCTGGATTTTAATCATATTTTCCAAACGTTTTTTAAATGTTTGTTATTTCATAAATAAAAAGCGTTTCAAATCTTAAATTAATTGTGCCCAATGTGTGAGATACGTTTACTGTTCAGTCAAACATCACTACAGTGAAAGCGTATAGATGTAATATATGTTCAATCTTTTATTAATATATTTAGAAAGTAAAATATACTTATTAAATCCTACTCTTAATATGTTATTTAAAGGGATATTTTTTACAAATTATAAACGCATTAATAAAACATTTCTTTAAATGGAACATTATACTATCTTTTTTCGCATTATATACGTATATGATATTCTACGTCTTCATTAACTATTTCTTGATGTACAAAACACATTTCACATTGTTCACACGTAGTAAAAACAATTATTATACACGCATATTACATTGTATAAGAACAGTTTAGCTTATATACGCCATATATCTATACTAGTTTTATATTATACTTACGTTTAATAAGCATATATATTACAATCCTGTTCTTATTGAGTAGTTTTTTTTATTCAATCTAGCAGTGTCAAATGTTTACTTGTTTAATTTTTTGTGATAACACTTGAATGGACAAAGTAACACAATTTTATGATAATGTTTTGAATAATATTTTGAAGGAGAATTATATAACTATTACTTTGGTTGGCAAAATAAATGTATTTGAACTGAATTACAATATAAAAATTTATAAGAAAATTAAAGCCATTCAGATCGGAAATCCTTCAATAGGAATACAAAGATCAGAATAGGGAAATCCTTCAATAGGAATACAAAGATGTTACTTATGTTTTTATTGTACAAAAGTTAAAGAGAGTACACTTGGATTATATTCTTTATTTAATTTAATGTGGTTGGTATGGGATTTAACTTTGCGCCAATTATTAATACCAAATCTTTTTTACAAATAATACATAAAATTTTGTGGAATTTTACTTGATGCCAGTTGTTGACATTAAATCTTTTATACGAATCATACATATCATAGAGTTAAGTAAGAAAAATAGTACCATTTAGGTTTTACTTTAATTTGATAGAATTTCACTTGATTAATTAAAACCATATCATTTCTAATTTTTAATTGTAGTGCAATAGTTTTATTTCGTGGAGTAATTTTTAACAGATAATTGAAGTCATAATGAATTAGAATATAACTTCAATAAAAATATTTTTGAAGAAAAATTAAAACTACTATTACTTGAGTTGGAATAATAAAAAATACGTAATGCATTTATTTTATATCACACATACATTTAATAACCGCATAATATACCAATGTGATTATTAGGCAATATATAAAATCATTAAATACTATAGTCAAAATATATATCAGACGTATATTATGAATACTTATATAATATGTCTGTGTACAATTTGCGTGCGCACCACAGGCACGTACGAGAGGTAGACATGGTCCCGACTTTGGGATGTTGCACTATCGGAATGAATGAATGAATGAATATAATATCTTGATATGTTTATAAAGAAAGGAAATATGTCTAATTATTATAAACGTTGAAAGTGTATTTCTATTTAGAGTGATATGGGTTAAATATAAATAATATAACAAAAAATATGTTTATCAATCATATAATATTTTAGCTACAAAAGCGTAGTGTAAGTTAATTGTATAACGATTTATTAACATTTTAAAGACATTGATTATACCATTTGTATAATAGTATTGTATTTTGTAAACGTTTACAAATGAGATCTCTTTTATGAATTATATATGTTTTCAGTAAACAGTTTTTACAGTTATATAAGTAAACATAGATGCACCTTTAAAATTAAATGTTTTTTTTCGCGTTGATTTTCAACGCATAAAATCTGTTTTGTGTTATGCAAACATAATAAAAATGGATATCATTAACGTATATTATACGACAATGATATCGTATAAAAATGGTAAAAATTAAAATGTCTTTCTGTTATATTTTTTTACTTTTATTCTTATACTAATTTTATACTTACATTTAACAAATGTTTAATACCCCATCATATGTTACTGAATACACATACACAAGGTGTTTGATAAGCAACGATAAACTTCTATGGATAGAACCGATTAAATTAAGTCGAAAAGTCCTCTATCATTTCTCAATAGTTAATAAGATATCAATTACTAAAAATCACCGAATATTAATTCTCAATAATTTTTTATTCAAGTACTATCCTTTACAAAAAACAGTACAAAAAATAGCAAGAGACAAAAATTATTTATTTCTTTTTCGCATTCTAAGAATTTTTTTAGAATTTTTTATCAACTTTTTAGTATTGCATTTTCTTTTTCTTGGGAACTATTTTTGCCAACATGAAAAGATTCTCAAAACTCTATGAGAAGAAAATAAACAATTTTTGTTACTTGCTGTTTTTCTATAAAGTTGATAGTAACTTGAGTAAAAAAATTATTGAAAATACAATAATCAATAATCGACAATATTTAGTAATTAATATTTTGTTAACTGTTGCGAAAGTGTAAAATGATAGAGAACTCTTCGATTCAATTTAGTCTACCCTTAGCGCGCGAGAGTTTTATCGTTTCTTATCACTCACCCTGTATATAAACATCAAATTAGTGTATATAATTTGTGTGTATAATCTACGTTTGTTAAATATTTGCGTATATAATCTATGTTAAAAGCATGTTTTTGATCCTTTATAAGATTTTATTTTTTCGATAACAAAATAGCTAATTATTGAAATTTAATATTGCTAAATGAGCTACGAACTTCTAAAAGTATGTAATATTCTCCTCGGTAATGCTACAATAAACTCCAATTTCGTGTTTAAGACACATGTACGTACATTAGATATATGAATGAACGGCGCGGAAACAATTATCAGGGGGACCAGGTCAAATACTAGAGTCAAGTTGGTAATACTCAGTAGGATTAAACGCTTCCTTGACCTCTCTTAATGAATCGGTAAGACACTTTATCATGTTAACTTTAATATTTTAGAAATTGTTTAGAAAAATGTAAAAAGAATAATCAAAGAAAAGAGAATTTCTTCTAATAATACATTTATTTATGCTTCGGTTAGTTTCGTTATATGTATATATCATATCTTCATCAAAGAAAGAATTTATTCCAAATAAACTCAAGGGTTCGTAGATAAGAAAATAGTATACTTTATATATATTTTTTATATATACTTGATATGCATGTATTCAAGAAGTCACATGTTAGCAAAAAGGAGAAATTTCGTAGTCATCGGCGAACGGATAGTGGGGAAGAGGGAGATAGAAAGAAACAGAGAGAGAGAGAGAGAAAGAGAGAGAGAGAGAGAGAGAGAGAGAGAGAGAAAGAGAGAGAGAGAGAGGAGTGCTCTTGGCAAAGAGGGTGTTGGTTCCTCAGTATTGCGCTGGACACGTTTAGCATCAGTAGTATTTATCAGTAGTATTTATGTCCAGATTGTTCGCCAACGCAAGTCGCTTTCCGGAACGTTTTAATTGAGAAAGAATTTTGTTCACGAAACTTTCTACGTAGCAGAGTCGAAAATTTACAGTTTTGGATCGACATATAAAAAAATGATTTCCACTGAGCGCTCAGCAATAATCATCTTTGGGTTATCTCTTTGCATAGTTTCAGGTGAGTTTGCGCTAACTTAATAAATAAAACATTATTGAAAAATCCTTCTTATAAAGCAAAGATTTAGAAAGGTGATAATATCCTTGGTTATTTTAGACGGTCGTAAGTTCATAAATGAAGTTGTGCTGCAAACTTGATTTATTTTGTTTGTAGATATATTTTTAAAAAATGTTTTATAAATATTATGTTTTTTCCTCTTTTATTGAATTCTATATTAAGTAATTTTATGTTACATATATCTTGTACAAAATTATATTATGTAAAAAAAATTTTACACGCATGCATACATTTGTGTGTGTGTGTGTGCGTGTGTGTGCGTGTGTGTATATGCGCGACACGCATATATGTATGCACGTATACACACATACTCACCCACCCATCCACTCACTCACCCACTCACCCACCCACTCACCCACCCGCACACACACACACACACACACACACACACACACACACACACACACACACACACACACACACACAC